CCCCCCCCCCCCCCCCCCCCGGGCAGCACCACGCCCAGGTCACCCGGCTTGACGGAGCAGCGCGCGCACATACGGTGTGCTCATGCAGCTGTCCCCCCGGCCTGCCGATCGGACCTTGCCTGGCCTCGCCGCGGCCACCAAACACGGGTGCTCTCGCGGGCACTCGCACCTCTCTCTCCCACACACACTCTTGACGCGACACATGGGAAGGCCCATCCCCGGGTCCTTGGGCGCGCGCATCATCACCGGCCCCCGGCACATTGCCCCGATGGAGGCGCGGCCTCTTGTGGCCCTGCCCCCGCCCCCGATGTGCCGGCCACCGAAAGCCCATGCCTCCCTCCGCGCCTCGACCAGCGGCAGCCCTCGTCCGCCAACCTCGAGCAAGCACGGCGAAACATTCCCTCTCCTCCCTCCTTCGCGCCCCCAGGGCACAGCCTGGCGTGTCACCGTTGGAGGTCCTCCCCGGGTGGCATCCGCTCCCCCCCCCCCCCCGCCCGCCGGGATCGCGCTTCGGCGGGCTGCCGCCGCAGATGCCAGTACACGAACAGTGGGCGCGCGGGCCGGGGGGGGGGATCTTGGGCCCGGGCCCGCGATCGAGGCCGGCAGGTCCCAGGGCGGGCACCCGACGCGCCATTCCGCGAAGGCCAAAGCCCCGACTGGCCGTGTGTGTGCGTGGGCATGGTCGGCCAGTGCCCACGCGAGCAGCATGGGACTTCCTCCCCCGGGCGGCCCTTTCCACCTCGGCCCCCGAATTCCCTGGTGGAGGCCCCTCCGCCGGGCTCATGGCGAGCCGGCCGACTGGACGTGGCCTTCGCGACCACGAGACCCGCCCCCCGCGCGATGTGTCTCTCCTCCGGCATCCGGAGCTCCCGCACCGGTGGCCCAGGTCCGGTCCCGGCCTCCCCCGGGGCCTTCGTGCTCCTGGCCTGGCCCCGGGCCGCCCACTACACGCGCATCGGGCCACACGGTTGGGTTCTTGCTGAGGCATGGTGCTGGGCCTGCCGCGCTGGAGCCCGCGCATGCCTCATAGCGGCATCCCCTCCGGCCGCGTGTCCTGCCGGGGGGCTCTTCCTCGGTCTGGCGGCCAGGCGCCGTGCCGTGCTTGCGTGATGGCATGCCCGCCGACGGAGGATCGCCGAGGCCACCTGCCCCCCCCCCCCCCCCCGCGGCTCGACACTGCCTCCGAGTCGCCGCCCATCCGGGCCATTGCGCCAGCGGGCCCCCCGCGCATGCGAGGACATGATCACAGTGGCCATCTCCTCCTCCCGTCCTGGGTCCCGAGTGGGCTCGGTCCACATCTGTGCCCTGCAGGCTCCCAGCCGTGGGTCTGCCCAGTGCTCAGTGGGGCTGCGCGCGCGCGCGCGTGTGTGTCTGTCCGTGCTGCGGCGCCGTACTCCTCCCCCGCCATGCTCTGCCATCGCCCTGCCCGATCCGATGGCCCTCCGCGCCAGACTGCCTGGCCCCCCCCCCCCCCTCC